AGGTCACATGAACTGCCTCTCATTTACAGAGGTGACCAGAGACCAAAAGAGCTGGGGAGAAAAGTGCGGTGTTGAAATAACCCTGAACATTTCATTTGCTTGTACAGCAGAAAAACTGATGACACCTGCATGTGATCATTTAATCACTGGCTGGTGTGGGCAGCTCCAAGACTTCAAGGGCCAGATAGTTTTTCAGCCTTCGAGGGCTCCATTCTTCTCTTGTGGCATATTCTTTTTCTTTTTTAACCTTTTTAAAATGTAAAAATCGTTCTCATCTCACGGAATTTACAGGAATGGGCAGAGGACCTCTCTCTCTCTGGCCATGGTTTGCAGACCCCTGGTATGGTGAAAGGAACCTTTGGCTTGAAGTCATGAGATTTGGGTGTAGGGCATTAGTTCCCTTCCTCCATCTGGGCTTGTCATCTGGGCCACAAAATAAGGGGTCTGGACAAAGTTCTCCAAGATTTCAATTTTTATTTGTAAACTAGGGATCTCTAAGGCTCCTATTAGACAGTGACCACCACATGTGTTTATTTGAGCCTTATATTTCCATATATTTATTGGCAAACACTAAACGTCAGCTGTAAATTTTCTTCAGTACAAGGTCCAAGGGAAACGAAAACCCAGGAGGTGACCGAGGAGACAAGGTAAGGATGGAAGACTGCTCTAAGCCAGGAGCTGGAAAACCTCCTTGCCTCCATTCTTACCCTCCTCCAACCCCCTTCCTTCCTGGCGGCCAAGCTATTTCTTCTAGAAGCTGAGGGCAACCATTCTTTGACTTCACGCCTGGCAACATACTGCCCTCCAGGATTAGTCCTTCCGTATTGGGCCCAGCCTTCAACAGCCTCTCCCTTCCCCATTTCAGCACGCCACATTTTCACTTCTCAGAACCCTCCACACTCAAAGCTCTGACAGCTCTCAAAATAGCTCAAACATCTCTTGAGCACTCTCTGTATGCAAGGCACAGAGAAGGCACGTGAGTGGGAATCGGTCCCGTTGGCCAAATACACTGCGCACCGGAACTCTCTTTCCCTCCCTTTTCTTCTGGGAGATGTTAAAGCTGAAAGGAACTAACATAATCCCTTTCTATCATCATGGAAGGAGGCTGCAGGGAGGTGACAACATGCCAGACCACTGGATGAAAATTCTGGAATCCTGATTGTCTTGATGACCTGGAAGGGACATTAGGTATCACCCAGCTCGATCGTCTCGATATACAGGCGTAGACACCGAGGGCTGTCTAGCCCACGGCCTTTCAGAAAACCTTTATTTTCTTCTAACCATTAAGCAGACACGCCTCCTCCGCGTGACCCGGCGTGCCACATTCAGTTCTGCATCCTTCAGGAGGCAAATCACTGGACCCGGGGGATCAGGAAGTCAGACCTGCAGCTGAGCGACCCCGAGCGAGCCGGCGCGCCCTCCCCCGTTCCCCCCCCCCCGCCCTCGCTCGGTTCCCACCTGCCTAACGTCAGCCCGAGCCGAGAAGGGGTCTCCGCCGGGCTCCGCGGCTACACTCACTTGGCCCCGGACGCCTGGAAGAGGTCGGTCCAGGTTTCCGGATGGAAGAAGCGCGCCGTAAACTGCGGCCCGAAGTCCGCGTAGCTGAAACCGGGCGGGTAGTTGTCGCTCATGAACTGCTCATACTGCGGCAGCCCCTCGCCCTTCCAGTGCCACCAGAACCACTCGCTGCCCCAGGCCGGCACCGAGAACACGCCCCAGTGCACGAACACCCCGAACTTGGCCTTGTCGAACCAGTCCGGCAGCGGCCGGGAGTCCAGACTCTGCCAGTCCGGGGTGTAGCGGCGCGGACGCTGGACTCCGCGCACGGACGCCGCTCGGAGCAGCAGCACCAGCAGCACCAGCAGCGGCCCGGAACCCACCCGCCTCGACTTCATGCCGGAAGCCGGGTCGCTGCCTCCAAACCTACGCGGCCGCCTCTTAACGCGCAGGTACAAGGCGCGCGGTTCCGCCCACTCTCACTAGTGATTGGCTCGGAAGGGAAAAGGGGCGTGTCAACCCAGGCCGCTTGGCGACTGTCCTCCCCTCCGGATCGGCCGTTCCTGCAGCGCCCCCTGGCGCTCAAACGGAGAAAGACGTAAAGTGTCGTTGACCGCGCTCCGCGGGACGGACGAATGAATGCTGCGGAAGGGACATCACAACAGGGTTCAATCGTGAGAGTATGGGAGTCCCAGTGCGTGCCGAGAGCTGAGAGTAGTCCATTTTGGCATTGGGAGCCGTAGGGGACTTCTTGAACTGTAGTAAAGAAGAGCAAGCCGGGAGGCAGGAATACCAGATGGGAAGGCATCGTGATAGCCCTAGCGGAAACATGGGGTAGAGGTATAGGGAGAGGAAGTATTACCAGGGAAGAGGAAGAGCCTCTGTGATCATTTTGTCTGTCTTATATTTATTGAGCTTGCTTTGGGGATTTTGAGGCAATACAGAGAGCTTAATGTCTAATTGGGAAAATAAGACCCTTTGGCTGCCCCAAAGGAACGTTTTTAGAGTAAGCAGGGTGAGAAATTGAGAGCCGCAGGCCAAAGAAGTTCCCGTGTCAACCTTCTCTGGTAGGGAGGTCACCGGTTGCTCTACAATTTGTATGCTGTGTGCTCAAACCGGAGGTGAGGTCATCAGGTGGGGAAGGTCTAATGATCCCACGAGGCACACAGTCAGTCCCCACCTATCAGTGAGAGAACTGCAGCATATCAGAGTTTGAAGGGACTTTGGAGATCGTGGATGCTATCCTTTTCCCTACTCTTCCCATTTTACAGAGGAGGAAACTGAGGCCCAGAGAGGGGACTGGAGTCGCCCAAGATCACACTGCTCATTTGAGCAGGGATGGGATGAGAATCCAGGTCTCCTGGTGGGGAATCTGTACCTCTGAACAAGCCGCTCCTCTCTCATACCCTGGGAGGGGCTGTGTTGTCAACCTGTGTTGACAGAACCAAGCACTTCCTCATTCCAGGAGCGGCAAGGAAACACAGTAGCTTTCGCTGATTGAACAGCTGTTTTATCTCTAGTGTTTTCTCTGCAAGATTCTGTTGAAATAGTGCCCAGAACAGTAAGCACTGACACCTCAAAAAACCAAACCAAAACAAAACAAAACACATTTTGTTTGCACACATCTTCTCGTGATCAGAGTGAGTAATGGTCTTTGGTGTTAGAGAACTCATCATGGGGAAGATAAAATGGGACACTATGGCCTTCGCAGCTCCTTATCCTCATAACCAACACGTAAATCTGCAGGGACAGGCAGGCAAGAGACATGACGACAGAGTGGACAAAGCTGGAAGTTGGGAAACCTGCATTTCTAGCACTGGATATCATCTTGTTGGGTCTTCTTGGGCAAGTCTTGTCCACTAAATGGGCCTGTTCCATCATCCAAACAACGAGGGCAGCTCTCTCTGGTATCCAGGGCCCTCATTCTCTGTTTGCTCTCCTCCTCCATAAACTAGTTCTTTACTTAGGGCAGAAATGAAGCGTGAATGTGAAAAGAGAGAGGTAGAAAGTGATGAAGTGCATTTAATTCAATGATTTTTAAACTCTAGTTTTATTCCTTAAACATTAAATATTTACTGGTCTATTCTAGGAACTTAAGCATTTTCTTTGCTAAAGGGAGAAAAGACCCCACCAACAAATAAAGAAAGGTATGTCCAAACTTTAAGGAGTCACAAATTTACCTTAAAAACTCATGCCATGTCTTTGCCTTACAAAAAGATAGGTATCTGGATTAAAATGAAATTTGATGTTCCAAAATGCTTTTCAGGAGCAGTTTTGTTCCTCAGATGTTGACCAGCGCTCTTAAGATTCTGTGCTTTTGGGCACCTGGGTGGCTTGGTTGGTTAAGTGTCTGCACTGGGCTCAGGTCATGATCCCTGGGTCCTGGGATGGAGTCCTGGGATCCAGTCCTGTAAGGGGCTTCCTGCTCAGTGGGGAGTCTGCTTCTCCCTCTGCCTCTCCCCACTCCCCCACCCACTTGTGCGCAGGCTCTCTCTCTCTCTCTTGCTCTCAAAGAAAAAAAAAATCTTAAAAAAAAGACTTTATGCTGTTATCAAGAATAGCCAAATTATGGAAAGAGCCCAAGTGATGAATGGATAAAGATGTGTGTGGGGGGGAATATATATATATATATATATATATATATATGTGTGTGTGTGTGTGTATACATATATGGTATGATTAGGGAACAAACCAGAAGAACATATGGGAAGGGAAAAAAAGTGGGATGGAAGCAAACCATAAGAGATTCTTAACGAGAGAACAAACAGGGTTGATGGAGGGAAGGGGGTGGGGAAGGGCTAAATGGGTGATGGGTATTAAGGAGGGCACTCTTCACATTGATCACTAGAATTAACTAGAATTTAAATAAAAATTTAGGGGAAAAAAAAGCTCTATGCTGGATTGTCCAGAGAACTGGGGACCAAGACTTGAACATGGAGGTCATCTCATGGGGGAAGACTAGCCAGTGACTGCCACTTAATACAGTCCATGATATGGGCTGTAATTGAGGGGTTGACTTTGTCCTTGAGGGGCTGTATTGAGTTGAATAATGTCCCCCCAGATTTCAGGTACATTCAGAACCAGTGAATGTTTCCTTATTTGGAAATAGTCTTTGTAGATGTAATTTGCTCAATTAGGATGAGGTCATACAGGATTAGAATGTGCCTTAATCCAAAGATTGACATCCTTGAAAGAAGACACCAAGAGATAAGGTGAGGAGAGGAGGGTCATATGAAGATGGAGGCAGAGATTGGAGTTATGTTGCTACAAGCCGAAGAACTTCAGGAGCTGCCAAAGGTTGGAAGAAGCAAGGAAAGATATTCCCTTAAACCTTTGCAGGGAACATGGCCCTGGTGATGCCTTGATTTTAGACTTCTAGCTTCCAGAAGCTTCCATGAAAGAGTAAGTTTCTGTTGTTTAAAGCCACTTGGTGGAAAAAAAAATTTTTTTAAGATTTTTATTTTTAAGTACTCTCTCCACCCAACGTGGGGCTTGAACTCACAACCATGAGATAAAATAATAGCACATTCCACCAACTGAGGCAGCCAGGAACCCCAAGAAATTAATACAGGACATAAAATGAAGTATACTGAGAAATAACATTGAGTTAAGGTTGCAGCAATCTGATGTTATAGAAATCGAGTATTATTCCTAATCAAGCAGAATTTGAGTGAACTAGGCCAAGAGGTTAGTGGTAAAGAGGGGCAGGTTTTGGAAACTCCAGCTTTGGGTACATATCAGCAGTGTGATCTCAGGCGAGTGATTTTTGCATCTTGAATGTTTCCTTATCAAAAAAATATGAAGGTACCAAGACCCTCTTGGTCAGGTTATTCTGAAGACTAAGTAAAATACTTCATTTGAAAGTACTTATCCTAGTGTGTGGCACATAGTAAAGATTCAATAAAAACCAGCTGGCATTTATGACCAGAGCACAGAGTAGGTCTACCCTACCTAAAGTTGCCTCAATTAATCCCTATCACATGACCTTGATGATTTCCTTCATTGTACTACCAGTAATTATCTTCTTTAGTGGCTGTCTTCCCACCAAAACGTAGAATGTAAACCTCATTAGACAGGGGGAGAACCTGTCTAATTTATGGCACACAACCAGGACTTAGCACAAAGGCTGGCATGTATTTGTGAGATGGGTGCATGAGTGAATGGACAGTGGGCACCTTGTCTTGCAAACAGAAAATGGAACTGAACTGAGGGGCAACCGGGAACGATTTGGGGGTTTATAAAATCTTAGTGAATGTCTTCCTTTTTCTTGGAGTTAGACTGAGCCATTGCCTGCTTCCAGTGGAAGGACTTCAGAGGGGCCACAAAATTCTCTGAAAATTCTGTGTCAGCCAGTCCCAGCCTTCCTTGTATTCCCCAAGGACCTAGGAGGTCACAGTGACTGTGAGTGGAGATTATCAGGGAGTCAAGTGGGGCCATTGCCCTAATAACAAGATTCCTTGAACTAGAGGCTTGTCAATTACCTATGAAAGAGGTAGGATCATCACCCTTGGTCCTCATTGTATCAAATGTTTTGGTCCTCAGTAAGAAAGGGTGACCAGAGAGTGGGGTCTTTTATAGCCTTAGAACCAAGGAGGTCCCAACAATCAAGCAAGAACAGGGTTGGCCAGCCATCCCATCTGACATCTTGAGATCCCGGGAAAATAATCCATTCATCTTCTCAGATGTCCTCTGAGTCCCTCATTGCTGAGCCTAAAGGCTCCACCTGGCTCCCACGCTCTCTGGAGGATGCAAGCACTAAGCCCTCTTGTTAGGGGAGGTTCTCCTAACCTGAACGTGCACCGAGCCTCCTCAAGCCTCTTGCCCACTTTGCCACTCCTCACAGGGCTTATCCAACAGTCTGCATGCAAACAGGCATGGCCAGGCTACCTGCCAGGGTCAGTGCCATCAGTCATCAGTGAAAGGGGTTAAGTGTCCAAGCCTCTGGGGCCTGGCTCAAGTAAGACAATAGGGTCAAGGCTGCTCCTCCAGGGAGTGAAATGACTCTGACTCAGCTTTTTAAAACTGTGAAAACTCATCAGCATTCAGGGCAGTTTAGTCCTCTGGAATCTGACCATGGGGTGATTTTCACATCAGCCTCTGTCTCAGTGACTGAGGACCTTGGGACTTCTTTGTTTCCTTCAAGTCCGAGTCTCCTCAGATGTTTCCTCCAGTGGGCCAGCCAGTGGTGGGCAGAGGAGCGGATCTCCCCACTCCGCAGGGCATAGATGATGGGGTTGATCATGGAGTTGACAAGGCAGAGCAAGGATAGGAAGGCAAAGACCTTCTTGACCTGGTCGCTTAGGGTGGTGGTCAGACTGTAGACCATGAGGGCCAGTACTGGGAGCCAGCATATGAAAAGCACGGCCAGCACCACCCCCAGGGTCTTGGCCAACCTCACATCAAGCCTCATTCGCACCATTCCTGGCATCTGCCTGTCCTGGTGTTCAGCCAAGCTGGCTACATGCTGATGGGCCTTCCAGAGGACATGCCCATATGTGTAGATGATGCCAGAGAAGAGGGAAGCAATGAACAGGAGCCAGCCCAGCAGATAGTCATTGGGGATCAGGGGGAATAGCTCAGAGCAGGGACTGGGACAGCAAGTCCATCCCATAAGGGGCAGGTAGGAGACCAATGCTGAGAGGACCCACATGATGCCCAGGGTTGCCAGTGCCCTCCCACGGGTGAGTAGGACTTTGTATGTAGGTGGATGGCACAGACAGAGGTAGCGGTCAATGGCAGTCAATAGTAGACTGCCTACAGAGGCTGTGAAGTTCATAGTAACGCTGCCAATCTTCAGTAGGAAGACAGCCTTGGAATCCATGCCATGGAAGACATGGAATTCCACAAAGTTGCAAGCAAAGATCACACTGGCAAGGAAGTCAGCCACAGCCAAGCTGCTAATGAACAGGTATGAGGGCTTCCTGCGGAGCCGGTGGGAGGACAGGATCAGGCAGAGCACAGCCAGGTTCTCCAGGGCACTTAGCAGGGCAAGAGAGGTGCACAGCACGGCAACAGCTATCCTTTGGGAACCGTTCAGGACCATGTACTCTTTCATGGGGTCGAAATCCAAGCCATCCTTACAGCCATTGGCTGCCTCCTTCACCCAGCGTCTCTCCATGAGGTAGGTTCCTTGGCTCCTGCTGGGCTTGTCAAGAAGCCTTTGCTGTAGTACAATGAGAAGAAGAAAGGAATCTTTTTCAATCAGGCAATAATGACTTCACACAGTCAATATAGCTCTAGACCAACCCTTTACCTGTGTTGAGGAATCACATGTTGAAATAGCAATTTATATTTTGTTCCTTTATATTTTGCCCTCTTTCCATTCTACTGGGTCACTAGATCTGTACCGGTTGCCTTAGGAGAGGTATGTGGGAATTCAAGATGCAGAAGTGGCCTGTGAGGTTTTCAGTCTTTTGTTTCCAAAAAGACCAATCCTGAGACTTCCCTTTAAAAGAGAAATCTTCAGGGGCCAATAACTAAGAAATCAAAACCAAGAAAAAATGGAATCCAGAATACTAAGATGGAGGGGATTTTTCCATTGGTTTTCTGTTCTGTTTTTTTTTGTTTTTTTGTTTATTTGTTTGTCTGCCTGTTTTGGTAAGTAAGATGCTGAGGTTTTAACAACAAAGACAAAACTTTATCTTCATATCAGCAGCGTTGCCAGATAAAATATAAGAAATCCAGATAAACCTGAATGTCAGATAATTAATCTTTTTTTTTTGTATAAGTATGTTTTAAATATTGAGAAACACGAAACCAGAGCACCCAAATATCATATGGGACATCATTAGATACTATTAGAAAGCAAACTTGAAATTTCTCCGGAGGAGTATACCTTCCAGCCAGGGCACATGAGTTTCCCACATTAAGGGACCCATGGGATTTGAACTCCCAACGTAAAATAACAAAATATGTAAGGACATGTGAATAAGAGTTTGCAGAAATGTCAGTAGAATGAGACTTTCAAGGACTTCATGTCATTCTTGGGAATAGGTTTAATATAATTAAACCATAAGGAATCAAAACCATGAGTACATAATGGAAGACTGCCTAGGCAGATTTGAAAAAGAATCAAGTAGAATATCTGGAATTCTGGAAGTGAAAAACAAATTCTTTGAAATAAGAACCCTTAAAGGTAGGTGAAAGAACAGAACAGATTAGTTGGAAAGCATTGATCCCAAAGGTAGATCTGGACATTTCTGAAAACACAGCACAAAGAGACAAAGAGATGCGGCAGATGAAAGAGAGGCTAAGGACTGAATGAAAAGTCCTAGAATATATCTAACTGGAGTTTCAGAAGGGAAGAATAGAAGTGGGGGTGGGCATTGGGGAGGTCATAGAAGGGGCTGCAGAGAGTGGAGAATTGTCCAGAATTCTCCTTATCCTCCTCAGATTCAGAAATCACAGTGCACTACAAGCAGAATTTTATTTATTTATTTATTTATTTATTTATTACTTTCATTTATTTATTTGAGAGAGAGCGAGAGAGAAAGCATGAGAGAGTACAAGCAGGGAGAGGGAGAAGCAGGCTGCGTATGCAGCAGGGAGCCTGATGTGGGGCTCGATCCCAGGACCCAGGGACCACGACCTGAGCTGAAGGCAGCCACTTAACTGGCTGAGCCACCCAGGTGCTCCTATTATTTATTTTTTTTTTAAAGTTTTTATTTACTTGAGAGAGAGATAACATAAGCTGGGGAGAAGGGCAGAGAGAGAGAGAGAGGAAGAAGCAGGCTCCCTGCTAAGCAGGGAGCTTGTCCCAGGGCTTGATCCCATGACAAGATGGGATCAAGATTTTACTCAGATCATGACCTGAGTAAAAGGCAGATGCTAACCAACTGAGCCACCTAGGCACCCCTACAAGCAGGATTTTAAAAACAAATTAATTCCATATTCACATATATCATAATAAAACTTCAGAACACGAAAGACGAAGAGAAAAAATTAAAAGCAATCAGAGAGAAAGGACACAATACTAGCAAATGAATCATAATGAAACTTAAATGCAGATTTTCCAATAACAACAAAATCCAGAAGAAAGGAGGGGGGGGCCGCTAAACTCTAACTCAAACTAAAGAAAGACAAGTCAAGTTGTCCATGAACAGACCTTTCCTGAAGGAACATCTAAAAGGTATGCCATCAGCAGAAATTCTTCACAGAGGGAAGAACAGAGAGGCAAGAAGGAATTGTGAACACATATGTTTCTAAATGTATGAGCAAATAAAAACAAATGTCTGTATAAAGCAATAATAATAGGGGCGCCTGGGTGGCTCAGTGGGTTAAAGCCTCTGCCTTCGGCTCAGGTCATGATTTCAGGGTCCTGGGATTGAGCCCTGCATTGGAGGGTCTCTGCCTCAGCAGGGAGCCTGCTTCCCCCCGCCCCCGCCCTGCCTACTTGTGATCTCTGTCAAATAAATAAATAAAATTTTAAGAAAAGCAATAATAATAATGCTAATTATTGATTTGGAGGGTATAAAAACAAAATGGAAGTAAAATTGTGAATCACAGTAATATAAGCCAAGAAAGAGATGGAGTTGAAGCTTTATTTAGACTATTTAGGCTTTTAAAAATCAAGCATTGAACTCCTGAGTATAAAATCAGCCACTCTTCACAACCCCAGTACAGCAGCTCTTTCTGCCAATGGGTCCTTTCCCTGTGCTTTAATAAACCACTATTTTCCACCAAAAAAAAAAAAAAAAATCAAGCATCATCTCTTACCTGCTGGTTGACTTTGATAGTTTACTAACTGAGCTCCATGCTTTTTTTTTTTTTTATAAAATATTTTATTTATTTATTTGACAGAGAGAGAGAGAGAGACCATAAGCAGGCAGAGCAACAGACAGAGAGACGGGGAAGCAGGCTCCCCGCCGAGCAGAGAGCCCGATGCAGGGCTCGATCCCAGGACTCTGGGATCACGACCCGAGCCGAAGGCAGAGGCTTAACCCACTGAGCCACCCAGGAGCCCCTGAGCTCCATGCTTTTAACCAGATCCATCTTTAATCTAATTTCAACACAGCAGCAGGCGTGATCCCTTTAAAATACTTCAGATCATGCTACTTCTCTGTCCGAAACCTTGCGCAGGGACCATTCCATTCAGTGTAAAAGCCAAACAAGGTGCTTACAGTGGCCTAGAAGGCTTTATGTGTTCTGGCCCCATTACCTCTCTGATCTCCCTCATGTCATGCTTTCCTTGGTCAACCAGCTTTAGCCACACTGGCTGCCTGATGGGTCCAACCCCCTGTCATAGGGCCTTTGCACTGGCTGTTCCCTCTGCCTGAGCCCTCTTTCTCTAGATATATGCTTGACTCAGGCTCTCACTTTTTTCAAGTCTTGGCTCAAGTTTTACCTTTTCAATGACAGCTTTCCTACCACTCTAATGCAGTAACTCACCCTATCCTTCTGCTCTTCTGGTCTCCCTAACTCTGCTCTGTCCCCACGCCCCATATCACTTACCATCTTCTTTTTTTTTAATTTAAATTTTAATTTTCTTAAAGATTTTATTTATTCATTCGACAGAGATTACAAGTAGACAGAGAGGCAGGCAGAGAGAGAGGAGGAAGCAGGCTCCCCGAGGAGCAGAGAGCCCAATGCGGGGCTCAATCCCAGGACCCTGGGATCATGACCTGAGCCGAAGACAGAGGCTTTAACCCACTGAGCCACCCAGGCGCCCCCACTTACCATCTTCTAACATATACCTTACCCTACATCACTTACCTATTTATTTTGTTTTATTGTTCATTGTCTGTTTGTTCCACTAGAATTTAAGTTCTGTGAGGTCAAGGAACTATTTTGTCCACTGATGCAAGGTCTTTGAGTAGTATCTGATACGTAATAGGTACTCAATAAATACTTGTAGACTTGAGGTGAAATGAAATTGAATAGCGACTGATTCTAGCATTCTTTTCTCAGAAGCTGATCAATTAAGCAGACAACATACTAGTTAATAGAATGTATAAGATTTGAATATGCAATTAACAACCTGGATTAAATAGTCCTATATGGAACTCAACACCCAATAACTGGAGAATACACATTGTTTTCAAGTAAAGGTGGACATTTATCAAAACTGACTGAGTCTTGGGTGAAAAGTAGATTTCAACAAATTTAAAATAATCTGTAACATATAAATCATGTTCTCTAACCACAGTGCAAGTTGTTAAAAAATCAAGAACTTAGGGGCACCTGGGTGGCTCAGTGGGTTAAACCTCTGCCTTTGGCTCAAGTCATGGTCTCAGGGTCCTGGGATCGAGCCCCGCATCGGGCTCTCTGCTCAGCAGGGAGTCTGCTTCCCCCTCTCCCTCTGCCTGCCTCTCTGCCTACTTGTGATCTCTCTCTCTCTGTCAAAAAACAAATAAAATATTTTTTAAAAAATCAAGAACTTAAACATATAACTAACAAACTTCATAAGTACGAAGCATTAAAAATAGACTCCTGAGTAATTCTTGGGTCAAAGAATCCGAAAGGGAATTAGGAAATACTTAGAATTGTAACATTAAAACCTGTGGGCTCTATCTGCGCAGCACCAAAAAGGAAATGTATAGCCCTTTGTGCTCATATTAGAGAAGAAAAATGACAAATGTCCTAAACATCACAAAATTAGAAAAAGAACAACAGTGTAAATACGAAGAAGGCAGAAGACAGAAATAATAAGACCAGAAATTAATGACATAGGAAAGCAAAGGAGACTAGAAAAAACTGGAAAGACTGAAGCCAGTTTTTTGAAAAGATAATAAAACAGGCAAACCTTACGTTAGATTTCTGAAGAAAAAAAGAGAACCCATACAGAAGAATAAAGACATGAACGAGAAATGGTCGATGATCCTTTGAAAAGATATCTACCCTCAGTAGCAACCACAGAAATGCAAGTTTCCCTCCTACCAGACTGGTAAAAAATTCAACTTTTATATGACAGAGTGTTGGAGAAGGCATGGACCAATGAGGACTTCCAGAGCCTCCAGGGGAGGGGGGCAAGTTGGCACAACCACTTTGGAGAGCAGCTCAGCGAAATCTGGTCTCGTCCATGTGACCGGGCCCTTGGATGCATCAGTTCCTGGGAATGTGCTCCTGAGGGACCCTGACACGTGTGACCGATGACACAGGGCTACAAGAGTATACATTTCCTTCTCTTGTTCCTTATTTATTTATTTAATAATGTGGCAACTAGGAAATTGTAAATGACAGGTATCTCCCGTCGTGTCTTCAGGGGAACAGTGCTAGCCCAAGCCAAGGTGGTGTACTGCTCCTGGAGAGCCAGGGCAGGGCGCCCTGCTCAGCAGCCATTGCCGGAAGCCCCTCCCTGCTCCCCTACTCCCCCATCCTCTGCCATTTCCCAGATCGTTCTACTTTCTTGCACCTTTGCCCACACCTTCCCGCCAAGGTTCCTTTCTCTGGCTGACCCTCCTTCTTTACCCTACTTCTGAACTCATCTTTCAACCCGTGAAGATTTCCCTGATGCCCCGTCACACAGGAAGCTCCCAGCCCTACTCTGCTTAGTTTGTAACCAGTTCCACACTAGGCTTTTCTCCAACCAGATAAATAACGGAACTAACCAACGTTTGTATGGAATTTAAATTCTACAGAATAATTTCCAAAGCCACAATCTAATATAATCCGTATAACTTTATAATATAAAACTTATGGGTATTGGAGTGCCTGGCTGGTTCAGTCAGTATAGCCTGTGACTCGATCTCAGGGTTGGAAGTTCGAGCCCCACATGGGGCATGGAGCTCAAAAATAAAGGGTGCCTGCGTGGTTCAGTTGGTTAAGCAGCAGATTCTTGACTTCAGCTCAGGTCATGATCTTAGGGTCCTAGGATCTAGCTCCAGGTCGGGCTTCTTGCTCAGCACAGTCTGCTTGAGATTCTCTTGCTCCCTCTCTCTCTGCCTCTCCCCACCCTGAGTTATGTTCTCTCTCTCTAAATCAATAAAATAAAATAAAAATTATGGGTATTGTTATTTCACAGATAAAGCAGGCTCAGAGACATTAAACCACTTGGCAGAGGCCCCACAGCTTGTCAAGGTCAGAGACTGGGTCTTCAGTGCGTTGCACATGCCTACACACAGTAGGTGCTCAAAAACTCCCTATGGAATGAACCCATTTGGATGGAAAGGGGCTGCCTCAAATGGAGTGGACCCCAAGTAGGAGTGTAAGGGGGAGAGCAGCACACCCTGTAGCTTGAAATTCCAGCCGGGTTGCCTTGTTCAAGATAACAAATGCCTCAGGTTTCCCATTTCTCATCTGTAAGATGAGTTTTGTGAGGGTTTAAGTAAATTAATATGATACCTGTGCTTATTATTATTATTATTCTGAGCATCTTCAAATGAGGATAATTCACCTACTGTGTGTGGTTGTTAAGAATAATATGCCTGACACATCTGAAGAGCTCGGTAAATGGCAGCCCCTATTATAATCCAGTATTTTAAAATTTAAAAAAAAAAAAGATTGTAGGGGCGCCTGGGTGGCTCAGTGGGTTAAAGCCTCTGCCTTTGGCTTGGGTCATGATCCCAAGGTCCTGGGATGGAGCCCTGCATCGGGCTCTCTGCTCAGCAGAGAGCCTGCTTCCTCCTCTCTCTCTGCCTGCTTCTCTGCCTACGTGTGATCTCTGTCAAATAAATAAATACAATCTTAAAAAAAGATTGTATTTATTTATTTGATAGAGAGATCGAGAGAATGAGCACACAAGCAGGGGGAACAGCAGAGGGAGGAGGAGAAGCAGGCTTCCCACTGAGCAGGGAGCCCAATGTTGGGCTTGATCCCAGGTCCCTGGGATCATAACCCGAGCTGAAGGCAAACACTTAACTGACTGAGCCACCCAGGTGCCCCTGTTTTTAAAAATTTTACGAGAGCAGAACAATTTTTACAATTGATGGAACCCCTGTTCCTAAGTCAGGTAAAATCTGTGATCATATCACCTTTGCCCTCTCTTCAAGGCATTCTGAAGAGGATATCAAAAACCTCTCATCTAATTCAGCTCCATCATTTCAGCATTGAGAAAACAGTCCAGGGGTAGGGATGTAACGTCCTGAGGTCACCCAACCAAAGGGCAGCGGAGCTGGAACTAGATTTCATATCCCAAATCACAAGACGAGACCCTTGGTCTGGAGGTGCAGAGATGACCCTGCACACAGAAGCTGGGAAGGGGCATTTGCCTGGGACAGAGAGCAGGTGCTCAGTGTTGCCAGAGCCACACCAGAGCTGAGACAGGAAATGGTGCCGACTTCGTTCTCAGCACTGGTCACGAATGAGTGACAGTGCAAGGCTTTCTCAGTTCCCATGTCCCCACCCTGCCACGTCGGGAAGCTTCCTCCCCACACCCTGCTGCCCCAGCCAAACTCCCCCTGCCCCCGTATGTCCCTTAGGAAACAGTCCCCTCTCATCAGAGAATGGCTTACCCCACGCAGAGTCCAGCCTAGAAGAGCGAGGCTGGTGTGGTGGCTGTCGGCATGCTGAGCTTCACCCAGGTCTGGTCTGGCCACTGACCTGTGGCATCATCCAAATTAGATAAGGACCGGAAACGCAGGCCTTTGGATGGAGGGCCTAACGAGACAACATCCGATTGCAACAGGATGCAGAGAGCAACAGGAAACCCATCTCCCTGCCTGGTTCCCCTGTGGGCAGATAGAAATACCTTCTGGAATCAGAATGTCTGACTCCTAGACGGGCCTCCTTCCCTGGGCAAGGACGGGCATCTGAGTGCCCAGCACGGAGGGAGACTCTGCAGGGCCACTAGTTCCACCCTCTGCCATGGCTGGTCATGTGACCCTGGGCAAGTCCCTTCAACTTTCTGAGCCCCTTTTCTCACATATGAAATGACAAGGACAACACCTGTCCCAGTCTCTTTGGAAAAAGCTATTGGCGGATGGCCTCTACTGAGGCTTTTTCACTGGGTCCACTGTGATGGGGTCTCCATTCTTTCCAGGTGTGTGTAAGACTTTACACCTGTGCATTTGTCAGGGGAAAGTGTTCATGTTTTTTACCCCGTGTCCGGGGAGTTCCAAATAGTAAGAAGGACGGAGGCAGACAAAACCATTTCGTGACTGACTCTGTACAAAAGGACAATTGAAAGAGAACTGCCCCACCAGCCAAGTGCCACCCCGCCTTAGAACAAGCCAAAGCCCCAGAGATACCTGACACGCTTTGGTCAGACAGCATGTTGGTGCTCGGCGGCTAAGCCGCAGCCTGCAGCCTGCAGCCTGACTTAGGCTGAGTGGGTGGGAAGGGAACCTTCAGGTGAGGGGGTGGTGGTGGGAAGGTGCAGGGAGTTGCCCCTGGGGGGTTTTCCACCTGAACTGAAAGTACGAAGTGAAAATGAATGCCATAGTAACAACTGCCCCCGCGTTCCTAGTGTTTAAAGCCAGGGACAACCTGTGAGGTGAAAAGAATGTGACTCTCTGACTGTGGTCACTACACCTACAGTGAAAAGCTGAGATTAGAGGCCAAGAGCCAGCATTTTTCTCTCTGACTGGGAGTGGGTGGTGGGGTGGGTGGGTGCGGTCCTGGGGTCCAGTTCCTGTTCTGCTACTGAGCGTCTTTGGATAGCTCCCTTCTCCTTTTTGGGTCTTTCTTTTTTCATCTATCTACTTTTCTTTCTTTCTTTCTTTCTTTCTTTCTTTCTTTCTTTCTTTCTTTCTTTCTTCCTTCCTTCCTTCCTTCCTTCCTTCCTTCCTTCCTTCTTTCTTTCATTCTTTTTAAAAAAAAGACTTTATTTATTTGGCGCAGAGAGAGAGATCACAAGCAAGGGGAGAGACAGGCAGAGGGAGAGGGAGAGGCAGGTTCCCTGCTGAACAGGGAGCTCAACGTGGGGCTCTATCCTAGGACCCTGGGATCATGACCTGAGCTGAAAGCAGTTGCTTAACTGACTGAACCACCCAGGCGCCCCTCTTTTCTCATCTTGAAAGCAGGTGGGTAGACTGGGTGATTTTTTAGGTCTCCTCCCGGATATTCACCACGTCGAATCCCAGTGTCGCAGGTTTTGCAACCAGACCTCTCTGGATTGGAATCCAGCTCTCTACTTTATGGGCTGTGTGACAGTGGGCAAGTTACTTCACCTTTTTGGGCCTCTGTCTCATTCATCTGTAAATGAGAGAAATACCACCCTTATCACATTGTTGTGCAGATTAAGTAACAGAAGTTTACTAAACTTGTGGCACTGTGCCTGGCTCCCAGCACATGTCCAGTGAAAGGCAGGAAGTGACTTCATTGAGTTAGTTTATAGGATTTTACAGGATTCTGTGCTTGAGTCTTATCTGACCCACACCTGAGAGCTGAGGCAGATAGAAATCTCTCTGTTTATTCTCAGCTGACACTTTGCTACAATGAAGGCCAAGCCATCATGTTTTTTAAAAACTTATTTGGAGGGGCCTGGCTGGCTCAGATGGAACAGTGTGTTACTCTTGATCTTGGGGTAGTGAGTTTGAACCCCACATCAGGTGTAGAAATTACTTAAATAAATACAACTTTTTAAAAAATAAATAAAAATAAAAATCTGTTTGACCTGCATGACCTTCTGGACCTGCTTCCCAGCAGGCTGGGCTCTTGGTGCTCTGTCCAGCTGTAGGAAGGGAATCATGGGGGCTTCCTTCCACATTCCTTCTCCCAGTTCCCCTTGGTGTTTGACAGCACTTGGCTGCAAGTTTTAAGGAAGTTCTATGGAGTTTCGGGCTGTAGGCTATTGTCCTTTGCCCAAATCTTATCTATTTTTTTCAGGTCCTAGATCAAGGCCACCTTCTCCAGGAAGCCTTCTCTGATTTCTCCCAGCCCCTCCAGGTGGATGAAACTCATTGAGTCCTGCTGCATGGATCACTGTCTACCTTCTATTCTTTGTAACAATAATATATATCTCATCTTGCTTCCTGGACTGTGAGCTTCTAGTTTTGTTTTTTTTTTTTAAAGATTTTATTTATTTATTTGACAGACAGAGATCACAAGTAGGCAGAGAGGCAGACAGAGAGAGAGGAAGGGAAGCAGGCTCCCCGCCGAGCAGAGAACCCGACGCGGGACTCGATCCCAGGACCCTGAGATCATGACCTGAGCTGAAGGCAGCGGATCAACCCACTGAGCCACCCAGGCGCCCGAGCTTCTAGTTTTGAGAGTAGAATCTGGGCGAGGGAGTGATGACATCTTTGTATTCTAGTTCCCCTCACACTGAAACAAAATTCTTTTAATGACAGGTTCCAAGGTAAGCTAAGCAGCCTTTATGGAGGTAGAAGTCAGCCCTGAGAAGGGAGACAATTAGATGGCCCTTGAGCCTCTACTTCCTGTTCCCAAACCATGACAGACATTGCCCATTGGTCCCAGTCTCTCATCCTGAGCCTCACCATGAGCTCCTCACCATAGCACTGCTTGCCCAGGGAACCAGACTTCTGGAAAGACTGGGAACCACAAAGAGCAGGTCAAAAGCAGAGAGTGAACTGAAAGATTGGCAACTGTCCTTGCTCTTGACCTTGTACTTTTGACCTTGTAAACAGACAACTACAGTAGTCATCCGAGGGGAGGGGGAACAGCATGTGGGTGAAGGAAACTAAAATCTCTTCTGCGGTATAAGTCCAGGAGAAGTTTATTGATGCAAGGCAAAATATGGAAATTGTCCTAGGGGAGAGAAGCAAAGGGCTGCCCAGACCGATTGATTGATTGATTGATTGATTTCTAAGATTTGCATTTATTTGACAGAGAGAGAGAGCAAGCGAGCACAAGCAGGGGGAGCAGCAGAGGGAATGGGAGAGGCACACTCTTCACTGAGCAGGGAGCCTGATGCGGGGCTGGATCCCCGGACCCTGAGATCATGACCTGAGCTGAAGGGAGATACTTAACAACTGAGCCACACAGGTGCCCCCAAGGCTGATTTCTTCAGTACTTTCTGTTTGGATTTCCAGCACTGGAGCACAGGGCCTGGCATCAAGCAAGCACTTAGATATTTTATTTTTATTTTATTTTATTTTTTTTTTAAGATTTTATTTATTTATCAGAGAGAGAGAGAGGGAGAGCGAGCACAGGCAGACAGAATGGCAGGCAGAGGCAGAGGGAGAAGCAGGCTCCCTGCAGAGCAAGGAGCCCGATGCGGGACTCGATCCCAGGACGCTGGGATCATGACCTGAGCCGAAGGCAGCGGCTTAACCAACTGAGCCACCCAGGCGTCCCTAGATATTTTAAAATAAACTTACTGAATAAATGAATAAATGAATGAATGAATGAATGAACAAATGTAAACTGAGGAAAAAAGCAGTCTTCTTCAGAGAGACTCTGTGCTTTCTTTTCCCTCAGCTGCCAGGAAGCTTAGAACTAAATCCGATGTAAACCTGCAGTCCTGAGTCATTCAAGGTTGGTTCCTGATTCATTTCTTCTTCTTCTTTTTAAAGTGGTTTCTAATGTTTTGCTTTTATTTCCACTGCCCTAATTCATAATATAGGCCACCTCCAGTCCTTTAAGGAAAGAATTTGTAATTTATAAAAATTGGCACACAGGATCATCATTAAGTCTGTTCTTAAATGTCTAGTGGTTGGCAAAGAAACTCATGCCCCATGTGTGGAGCTCTAAGATTCCATCCCAAGTCGGCTGTCCACCCACCATTCGCCACTCCCATCCAGGAGTCTGTGGGGCCACCACCTGCTGTCTTGACACTCATTCTCCCTGGACCTTCCTTCCTCATCTATCTGTATCAGCTCCAGCCTCTCTCCTGGGAGGAATTAAGCTAAATGGTGCCTGAGGCCTCTTTCCACTGCAGCAAAGGTTAAGGGCCAAGGTTTTGGAATGAAACATTGCTGGCTTCACATCCCAGCCCTGTGTGTGGGCTGTGTGACCTGGGGGCCAGTTCCTCAAACTCTCTGAGCCTCAGTTTCTTCATCTGTGGCTGGGGACATGATTACTACCTGCATTGTTCATGTGCAGATTACATAATGATTTAAAACAATTAAGCAATCTCGTGGGTGTCTGAGTGAGCTGTAGTGTGTTTGTGTGTGACATGGTGGAAAGAAAAGGGTCCCAGGTTAGGAATCAGATGCTCAGGGTTGGAGCCTGGCTCTGACACCAGTTGGTTCTAGGGCGTAGTCACTTTCTCTCCCTCTCCCCTGCACTGCCGTCTGAAAAGAGGATCGGGGGATAACGATGATGAGGCTTGGCACTGGACTAGCTCCACACATTATCTTATTTAAACCTCTAAACAGCCTTGCAAAGCTGGTATAATTATTTTCCATATTTTACAGATGAGGAAATTGGGGCCCAGAGATTTAAGAAACTTGCTGGGGGCCCCAGGAACCCGCAGTCTTGTTCATTCCTCTGAAGCCCCAGGGTCCATCCTGTTGTTTTACATTCTTTAATTCTTGGTAATCAACTAACTGATCTGAAATCTCCCCACAGGACAGTTTTGTTGAGTCTTTTCAAATATCTTCTTCCTTTTTTTCAGCTACCTTATACTCCAGCGACTTCCCTTTTAAGGAATGAACTACTAATGCCCATATTGTATTTGACAGTTTGCATAATTTTCCCCACTGTTATTTGAGGCAGGTAGCATTTCTTGAGCAAACAAGTTCAGAGAAGGCATGTCACCCAAAATTCGCAGCAAGTGATGGGCAGAACTAGGACTTCAGCCCTTGTGCTTTGACAAAGTCAGGTTGGTAATGGGACAGGATCTAATGCAGGACACTGCCGAGGGTGATGGTTCCAACAACAGACACAGGCCATCTTTGGTCTTTAGCCCCAGAGGCAAATCGCATCATTTCTCTTTCTGGCTTTTTCCTCTATTGACCAATTTCATTCAGTAATGCCTCCTTGGCTACATTAGTGGGTCTAAATTTTAGTCTTATCCCCACCAACCTGGTGGAGTCCTCATCTCCTCACCCCCAAGGATTTGCCAGTCAGGCTCTTGGGCTTTGGAGTTAGACCTGACTTCAGTCCTGGCACCACCAAACGTTAGCTCTACGCCCTCAGATGAAGTCACTACTGTATTCACTTGTTTTCCTCAGTTTCCTCATCTGTAAAATGGGAGTAAACAAACAGTGCACTCTTCATTGGTGGTGGTGAGGGACAAGAATTAATTGAGATAGCATCATGCTTAATACAGTGCCTGGCACACAGTGAGCCCTTCTTTCTTTCTTTCTTTCTTTCTTCCTTCCTTCCTTCCTTCCTTCCTTCCTTCCTTCCTTCTTTCTTTCATTCTTTTTAAAAAAAAGACTTTATTTATTTGGCGCAGAGAGAGAGATCACAAGCAAGGGGAGAGACAGGCAGAGGGAGAGGGAGAGGCAGGTTCCCTGCTGAACAGGGAGCTCAACGTGGGGCTCTATCCTAGGACCCTGGGATCATGACCTGAGCTGAAAGCAGTTGCTTAACTGACTGAACCACCCAGGCGCCCCTCTTTTCTCATCTTGAAAGCAGGTGGGTAGACTGGGTGATTTTTTAGGTCTCCTCCCGGATATTCACCACGTCGAATCCCAGTGTCGCAGGTTTTGCAACCAGACCTCTCTGGATTGGAATCCAGCTCTCTACTTTATGGGCTG